CGTGGATTACACGGTGATTAGCGTGGGGAAGAAGGGGAATACCTATTTCATCCGCCGACCTCACATTCCCGTCGACAGATTCCTCGACGGCAGCACTCTCCCAACCGCAAAAGACGCCCAGGCAATCGCCGATGATGTCTTTTCCCTCTTCGTGAGCGAAGAGGTCGATAAAGTCGAGCTTTTGTACACAAAGTTCGTGTCTTTAGTCAAATCCGAGCCCGTGATTCACACCTTAGTCCCCCTATCCCCAAAGGGAGAGATCTGCGACATAAACGGCAACTGTGTCGACGCAGCAGAAGACGAGTTCTTCAGGCTGACGACCAAAGAAGGGAAACTGACGGTGGAGAGAGACGTGAGAAGGACTGAAACCCCAGAATTCTCATCAATCTTGGAGTTCGAGCAGGACCCAGTTCAGATTCTGGACGCCCTGTTGCCTCTCTACTTGAACAGTCAGATTCTGAGAGCTTTGCAGGAATCACTAGCCAGCGAGCTGGCTTCCAGGATGAGTGCGATGAGCAATGCCACCGACAACGCTAAAGAGTTGAGGAAGAACCTGTCTACAGCTTACAACAGACAGCGTCAGGCGAAGATTACCGGAGAAATCTTGGAGATTGTTGCTGGAGCCAATGCCTTGTCTTAAGCATGCATGCATATATAATTATATAAATCCTCCTTGTTTTTCCCCCCCTTCATTATATATGCTTATATATAGTTGTGTTTATGGGAGATTCATGCTTCGTTTTGATGCTCTTGTTCAAGAACTGTGATTCAGATCAGAGTAGATAATTTCTTCTGCATTTCATACAAATAAACTTTGATTTTTGCTAGATGTATGTATTGAATGATTATGATATATAAGGCCAGACCACTCATCTGATCTTTATATGTCCAGATCTTTTACCTTGTATTTGTAAAACATGTAATAATGAAAGTCAAGTCCCCAAGATTCAAGTATATGCATTCTTCTCCATCCCTCTTTAACACCATACAATACTTCAAACACGACCCCAACCAACCTGACTAGGTTATTGGTCTGGCTTGGTAACCACATTATTGTTTCAAATTTGACATTAAGTAAGAGCGGTCATAGAACCTAGACTGGTTTATCTCGTGCATACTTTCATCAGATAGTGCTTATGAGTTTTTCTCGTCATCCCAAAAAACAATCCTTAATTTGCATGTAATATGGTGGAAACATTTCAAGAAGATTGAATGGCTATGAAGTTCAATACAAAATGACATTGTTTTTGAGTGTGCATTGGGTAAACATGCTCTTGTATAATAGTACGTAATTGAGAGATAAATCAAACTATAAAGATTACATGCAACGGGCTAGACTAAGAGAGTGTGGTCAAGAATGGAACAATGACTATTCATACTTTTTTTTTTTTTTTTTTGGGTATTAAAAAAGACTTATGCTAATTACATTATTGACATTTACACACTCACAAATCTATACGGTATCAATCCCGCATTCTACGCAGCCCATACTCTTCCCAAAGAAAATGGGGAAGCATAAGAAAAAAGAATAGGAAGGAAGAAGAAGAAATATATCCCTAATTGATTTCCCATTTCCAGAAATTAAAAAAATGTAAGTATTTAATTTCTGCTATTTTACATTCACACGTATATGGGTATATATACACTGTTTTATACATACACACACTGCATGCACGTATATGCATATCCTGCATTGGAACCACTGTGTTCTTGAATTAGACATATACATACGGAGTATTTTAAGGTTGTTCATTATCGCATGTTTTTGCGTGCGTGATTAATTCATTTTGCCCTAAACATGATTATGGATCTTGTTGTAGCTTTGTTCTTCCCAATTTTGTGAGATTAAGCAGAAACTGGGAGGGGATGTTCTTATTAATTCATTGTAATCATCCATGTGTATGTTTACTTTGTTGGGTTGATTCCCTGCGTTCTTGACGTGTTAATGAATCTTAATTGGTTCTTTTACATTTAACGTTTATACATTCCTCCTCAGAGGAAATTAACAATCTGGGCAGAATCAAGAATCAAGGTTGGGATTTAATTTCCCCAGAATGAGTGAGCAGAATCTGCAGGCAGCTAATTCATCTTCTCTGCCAATCCTTCCTGCAAAGAGGAGGAGAGGCCGTCCACGCAAAGATGGGAGTGTTTCTGAGAAAGTTATAAGCAGCTCACAGTCTTCTGAAACCAGGAAGATAATCCAACCTGGGGAAGTGAAAGAGCAAAGCTCTGAGGTGGATGACATGGTGGGAAGAATGGTTTCTGGGGTAATTGATGGCTGTTTCGATGCTGGTTACTTTCTCACTGTGAGAGTTGCCAATAGCAGTGCCTTGCTTCGCGGGGTTGTGTTCCAACCGGGGCGATTTTCCCCCATTACAGCAGCAACCGATGTTGTTCCACAAGCTAAAATGTTTCAGAGAAGAGATATGCCTATCCCAGTTCTTAACAATGGTGTCATCCCTGCAGCTTCAGAACAAGTTTTGCAGCATCCTAAACCAACTTTTAGTCCCTCAGTTATGGCTCCTCAATCTGGTGGGTTGTTAGCAGGGGAGAAAGCGATGGGGCCGGGTCTGAATCTTTATCAGAAACATCAACCTGAATCTGCAGCCCCTCCTCCGCCCCCGCTGGAGAATCTTAGGATGGTCGAACAGGACGAGGTAATGCAGGTGTTTGAGATTTCGACGCAGCCACAATGGTTGTCATCCAAGGATGTGTCCTGCAGTGAGGAGACTGGAAGTCAGGTGTCTCAAACTTACAGCCAGAGATCAACTGAGCCATGTTTTAAGGCCTATGATTGGGATGTTTCAAATGCCAGCAGGCTTTCCCAGAATCCTGCAGAAAATCAAGCTGTTGAGTCTAAAATGGAGGAAAATAAGTCTCCAAATCTTGATCAACACCCTGCTGTGGGTGCTCAACCTCATTCAGAATCTAAGAACACAGGTTTTCCAGTTATGATGGAGAATCCATCTGCTCCCCAGAATGATGATTCTCTGAAAGGGAAGGCTGAAAATGGTGGTGGAGAATCACAGGCTGCTGGAGAAGAAAATGTGAGACATGAACAGCCTGCAGGCAGGCTTGAAACTCAGATCTACAGTTCAGATAGTTGCACTTTGCCTGATTTCAGGTTTGGTCTTGATGCCATTGTTTCACCCACGGGATCTCAGGCCAATCCAAGCAACACTCCTGAAAATGAGCTTAGATGAAGGAAGTTATGGAAACAGCTTTCTAATGCTTATTCTGTCTCCAAATTTTGCTTCTCTCTTCTGTACTGTTAAGACATGTTGAGTCTTGCTTTGCTTGCAGATACTCCATATATATGAATGCTATTTCTTTCCTCTTTTCCACTTCAGGATCACAAATTAAACCCTTTTCCTTGGTTAAACTCTGATTTACGCGAAAGCCTAAAGCTGCTACCGGAATTGAATTTGAAATTCTATAATTATCAAGTTAACTGTTCGATTAACTTGACATTTGTCACAAAAGAATAATGTATTTACTTATGGGATAAGACCTTTATTTATAGGTTCATAAATAGCATCACCTTCCTCCTATAAATTATAATTAGTTGCCTAAACTATAATACTGACTTTGGATTTAGAGTAGTATTAAATTTTCAGATCAGTTATCCTATTCAATAGAGATACCTACAATTCAGTTAGGAGATTAGTCACGGTTCACAATAAAATTTCTGAGTGTATAAAAAAGAAAAAAGAAGAAAAGAAGACATCATTGCATTGGATCAGTATCAAACACCAAAGTATAACTCAATTGTGTTGAGCATATAGCCATTAACATGCAATCAAACTATCAGCTGACTTTTAGTTGAGAAGGTCATGAGTTCGACGAATCTCAGCTTGGAAGAGGGATGTCAAATGGGCTAGCCCGCTGGGTTTTGGGCTAGCCCTACAGGGTTGATGGACTTGTTGGCTTGGGCTAAATGGTTTTTTTATTTTTTATTTTTGAGTTGGGTTGGCCCTAACCCTAAACAACGGGTTGTTGGGCTAATCCAACGGGCTAAATCAATAAACAAAATTTTTATTACAAATAGAGTAGGTTCATATATATATATATATATATATATATATATATATATATATATATATATATATATAGTGTGTGTGTGTACAGTGTGTGTATATATATATTGTGTATATATAGTGTCTGTGTGTACAGTATGTGTAAATATATAGTGTGTATATATATAGTGTGTGTGTACAGTGTGTGTATTTATATAGTGTGTGTAGTGTGTGTGTGTGTATATATATATATATAGTGTGTGTGTGCGTGCGTGCGTGTATAGTGTGTGTGTAGTGTATAAAAGTACATTATTTTATATATACTATCAAATAATGTACCTTCAATACACAAATAATGTACATTTATTATATTAAAAATGTATCCTATATTAATGGTCCACACAAGTTGTATGGACTATGGTCCATCCAATAATGATTGGATATTACACGGGCCAGCTCAACAATCCATGAGCTGGCCCAACTCAATCCAGTAACCGATAGGGCCAACCCAATGAGCTTACATTTTTATTGGATTGATCTTTTTGGATTTTAGCCCTGTAATTTTTAGGGCTTATTGGGCCAGCTCATTGGTTCAGGGCTAAATTGATATACCTACCTTACACGTGAGTGTGAGAGAGCTTAGGTTTTTAATTGAGATGGAGCACATGCTTCAATTAATTGCACTTTAAGATAAATTTTCGAGATTAAAGTGCATTTCGTTTTACTTGTCAAATTAGTCTAGTTGATGCCCAAAGTTCAATGCTTTAATACACAAATTGACTTATTGTGCACTCATAAATACTATTTGTACAACGTGAAATAATAACGGCAAATTTCTTCATCAACAAAAAGAAAAAACTGATTATCCGTCCCCCAACTAATACGTTTATTGTAATTGGAGTATGTTCGTCATTGTCTGTTCTTATTGGTCTGTGTTTACACGCGCTATCGTCCCTTGTGGTTATTGCAGATTGCAGACTCGGCCCCCCAAATTCTATACTGTTTACGTACACAAGGGAATCAGAATCGATACATTAACCTAACCCGTCAAATCTTTGTGGATTATATCGATCGGAGGTTGTCGAAAGTCACACTCGGTTTCGCGAATCGGGTTCTGGAAACTTCACTCCTTTCTTTCGTTCTCTGCAAGCAAGGGGTTTAATAGTATTGGGGAGAAATTGGGAAGATTTCAGACGAAAATGGCGCAAGCAGTAGAGGAATGGTACAAACAGATGCCGATCATCACCCGTTCCTACCTCACCGCCGCCATCGTCACTACCATCGGCTGTTCCTTAGAGGTTTCTCCTCTGCCTCTATTGCTCAATCTCCTTCTCTGTGCACACACGTCTCTATAGTAACAGTGTTATGAGACAAGGTCATTGATCTGATTCATTAGTTATTACATTAACTTTGTGAATTTGAGCTTTTATGATCTAACCCTCTTCAAAAAAAATCTGTTGAGGTTTGGTTTTACAATTGGAATTGGTAATGTCGTTGTTGCAGATTATATCTCCGTACAATTTGTACTTGAATCCCAAACTGGTCGTGAAGCATTATCAGTTCTGGCGCCTCATTACCAACTTTCTTTACTTCCGGAAAATGGGTAATGACCTCTCCAATGACCAAGCTGTTCTTGTACTGCTGAGAGTTTTCTGTTTTCTTTTAGCCAGAGGGTATTCATCTTTATATGACTCAATCAAAATGGATGTCAAGTTTTGTTAAACGAGTCTTACTGCTATAATTAAATGACTCTTCATACCGTTTGTTGATATTTTGTCAAGACAAAAGACAGAATTAAGTGGTTATTGGTAGATTATTTAGTCAAAAGCTAGCAAAGGATAGTCCAGCCCAGCACTGATATGATTCTCAGAATAACACAACCAAACCTGCATAAATTAAGCTTTAGTTCTTAATTTCTTATCTTTGGCATAATGCTTGATGTTTTAGGTTTTTCCTTCAATTAATCATTAGTATTTACTTTCAATTTTTAAATCATTTTAAGGTATTCTTAAGAGTATTTCTTTATTTCCTCACAATCTGTACTAACTGTGCTCATTGATTAACTTTCAGACCTGGACTTTCTGTTTCACATGTTTTTTCTTGCTCGGTACTGCAAGCTTCTTGAAGAGAACTCTTTTAGGGGAAGGACTGCAGATTTCTTCTACATGCTCTTGTTTGGAGCCACTGTGTTAACTGGAATTGTTCTTATTGGTGGGATGATACCTTATGTCTCAGAGTCATTTGCAAAGATCATATTTCTTAGCAATTCACTAACATTTATGATGGTTAGTTTTTGTAGGTCTAGTAATTCTTTTTTTTTTTTTTTTTTTTTTGGGGCTTTTTTGCCTATTTTCATCCTTTACTTGTTTCCCTTTATAGGTATATGTTTGGAGCAAACAAAATCCCTTCATCCACATGAGCTTTTTGGGTCTCTTTACCTTCACGGCTGCTTATCTTCCATGGGTTAGTGACTAAATTTTACCTTCTTTGCATGCTTAGTCTAAAGCAATGCCTCCTTGGTTTCTTGTGATTCCGGAGTTTCTTAACTTTAGTTAGCAGTTAATGTGTATGCCGCCTGATGGTATTGTCTATTTGTCGGGTGGGTTAAGACTAAAGGAGGAACAAAATTGCATGTGTAGCCGTGTAGGTAACTTTTATATCTGATGAGCTGGTCAGCAGGCATCTGTTCTTATGCTGCAAATGCATTAATTGACTCTTTCCTTTGTGCTGCAGGTGCTTTTAGGGTTCTCCGTTCTTGTTGGTGCTAGTGCTTGGGTGGATTTATTGGTATGCTACCACACCCTAATTTGTCAAACTTTGTTTTTTTGCAACAATTTGAACTTGTTGCTTCAAAGTTAACAAATATATACCCCTTTACATGTTACTCCGTATTTTATTTTAGTTCAAACTTACATAGGTTAGTGGATTGGAATACGGGGTGCTTTGTTTTAAATCAAGATACATAACAAGTCTAGATCTAAATTAGGAGATAGGTCCTTAAACAGTTAAACGGCACTGCTACTCTTACCAAGTGGTCTGTATAGACGTTCCCTACATCACCTCTTGCAGCTGCACAAGTTTTAGTAGATTTCTGTTGTTTTACAAATTCTGCAGTCTAGTCCATTTTCGCGATAGAATTCCTTTCCTTATCCACTTTTCCTCATCCATTGCCATTGGGTAAGATGATTCTAGGAATGCGTTTTATGCATATAGAAAGTTGTAATTGTAGACAACTCGTTACTTCCAATTCACTTTAGTGCAAATCCATTTTTGTTCAGGGGATGATTGCAGGCCATGCTTACTATTTTCTTGAGGATGTTTATCCACGGATGACTGGCCGTCGACCACTGAGGACACCCGGATTTATCAAATCATTGTTTGCAGATGAGCCGGTAGTGATGGCCCGACCAGCTAACGTCCGATTTGCCGCTCCTCCCCTGGAAGAAGATCAACAGAATTGATGGGGGGATTGTATTGAGTTGAATGTACTAATACTCAAAATTCCCTCTGCTTATGTACATTTTACCGGGATATTTGGTAGAAAACTATAGATGATCTCATTGATGAGAAGTTAGCCAGTTTGAGATGGTAAATGTATTTTCTTTATTGAAGCACAATTGTCAGTATCTGTAGCAAATTTTTCTTGTTTAAAAAAACTAAAGCCTTCCTGGATATATGACAAGTTTTCTTAGCAAATACAAGAATCCATGAAGATGTTATTGAAGAGATCAGATCATTGCACAATTACAAACAACGATCTGACCAACACTTTGAGAAAAGTGGTTTACAGTAACGATTATAACTTGCGCTGATGAACCACTCGAAACGCAAAATTGTTACACATGCCTTCTGTTCTAGCACATAAATAAATCAATTGAATGTAACACACTTGTCCCAGAAAACAAGTTCATCGTCGACTCTCCACCCTGCTCATCGCTCTTCGTTTTCTTCATTCTATTTAATAGACGAAAGACCATGATCGCCTAACGGATGGGATGGTACTGTGCTGAGATTCTCTTGGGAGGCAGTTTGCGCAGGATATAGAGGACAAGAGCAGAAGGAAGAATCTCAACCACCTGTTTAGCCATAAAAGAATCAGTATATATACTACGAAACTGATGAAAAAGCATCATAATATGGAACATGAAACAGCTGCATACCAGATAATATATCAAATTCAAAACAGGGTGGTCCAAAACATCAAGTGATGCATCAGAATCAAAAGCAGACAACACAACCTGCAGAGACATGCCAAGTGTAAAATGTTTTGTCGATAAATTTAAATCTATTTCGTCTATCTTCCATAGCTCGAACTTTTGTTCTTTTGATTTCTTTGTTAATTGGTGCTCCCGCCATGGTGAGAGACACTTGTGATTCATTTATAGAGTTGAGTAATTGTTGGAAACCAATCTATTAGAAATTTGAAGCCTTACCACAAAGCATCTTATCAGGAAACACGTGAAACATATGGCTGTCACAGATCCAACCTGCACTCGTTCAAACAAATTGGTAGTCAAGTTATGAACAGCGGGAAAATTTTAGAACTCGTTAGTCACGTTATGATGTCAAAACCCCCCGGAAAGCATAAAAAAAGTGATGTTATGAAGAAGATTAACAGAGTCGCAAGAGAACTAACGTAACTATGGACAAACCTCATTAAGTTTCTTTCTTCTTCCTTTGGATTCAATAGGAAAGCGTCTCAGCATGAAAAAAAGCCTGATGCCACAATCAATGGAAATCCATATTAAAAAAAATATATATATATACTCCATATTAGTAATGACTAATATTTAAATACTGAATAAAATAACAATTTTGACAATAGATACTCGTCGTGTTATTTACCTTCCCCCGTAGAGCAAGAAACCTAATGCTGCCACAAGTGAAACAACTGCACAAAGTAAAAATAATAATAAGCACAGTAACCAAGGCTCAATATCCTACAGGCTTATAGAAATGAAGAGCTCCACCCTGAGTTAATAAAGTTGTTCGGTGGAAAACAACTCTAAAAAAATACCTGCTACAAAGATCTTTCCAATGACGTCCATGGTATGATTGTCATTAAACCAGAGATACACCCATATACCAGCCTGTACGATGTATACTCCCGCATTTATTGATATATAGAAGATTTTGAGCTTATCAGTCGGCAAACTCCTAGCCTGCTCATATGTAACGATGAGAGAGAATTAGACGTGAGTTTTCAGTATTAAATAGAGAAATGTAACCCATTAAAATGGAACTGAACTTGCCTGGTGATATATCTCTGCCCAGAACAGGACTAGAAGTGTATATGTTGAGAAAAAAAGCAGTCCCGGAATGTCCAACAGTGCAGTGGTTATGACCTTATTCAAGGGAAGAGAATTATTTTGTTCGTTGTTCAAATACAAAGATATCTATATTCTTTTCTTAATTCGAACGCTATGAAGTATGATTAATGTATGAAATGAATCTAATTAGAAATGCATAACCACTTGATGAAATGGAAGGTGACTATCAATAATTGTTAAAGATTCAAGAAATACTTTCGGAGTTGATATACCTTGGGATGGAAAAGAAACACTCGTTTGTGAAACACAAAGACAACAGCCCGAACTGAAACAAGATGCACAAATGAAATTAATTAATTTGTAGCAATAAAAAACGTCAAATTAATGAAATTATGTTTAAGTGTTTTACTTACCTCCATTTACAATGAAATTCATGAGATGAAAAACCTTTTGTGTTGTCCAGCCAAACTCGGGCACTCTCAATTCAATTCTTATCAATTGAATCTGCAGAATCAATAAAAAATATTCAGCCCAAACACTATGAAAAATAAATACAGGATTAGTAAGAAAGTATGGACAATGAACACTATTGATTAATCATTAATCATGCTAATCATTACAGATATAGCTGTTCAACCAAATCGTCGATGAACACCATTGATTAATCATCAAGTTTTCTTATGGAGCAGTATTGGTCTCCATCTTTTTGAAAGCTCCAAACTTTATACAAATAAACAAAAAATTGACGAATTCCCACAAAACAAAGTCATATACAAAGGACATATATCAAGTATGTATATATGTATACATACAAGAGCAACGGCGGAGACGAGGCCATAGGCAACACAAAGTGAGTAAAAGATCCCATCTTGCCATTTAACTGATTCGTTGATCTCATTCCACCAGTTCGCCGGAAACGACCAAACACCGCCGGCGATGTGCTCCAGTGCTATTCTAGTCATTTCACCTCTGCTCTCCCAGTCTCCCACCCTCCCTTCCTTCCAAAATTCAAGATTGAGAAAACACACAAAAAGGAAAGAGAAAGAGAGAGAAAAATCAGCAACGAAGCTAGAGATAAATACATACACAGTACAGTACGTATTAAATTCCAAATTAGAACGAGAGGCAAGAAACAGTACAGAAAATGCAAATAAATTTGGATGAATCAAAAAAGGCGAAGTTCACAGGTTGTGTAGCTCAGGGTGAGTGGTCCACAACTACGTTGAACGCCCAACTGCTTCTCTATCCCTCACCTAACCCCCAAAGGTTGCGACTTTGCAAGCGCTGCTGATTCTTGAACTTCGTGGGTGGGATTCGGAGATTATTATGTTCCCGGTTCACCATGTTCTCGGAGTTCATCGTAATAATTGTCGTATTATTATACACTACCTCAAAGGTGACTAGCATCTCTTAAGAATTTTTACGGAATATTATTTTAAATTCCATATAATATTAGAATCCATTAAATAAATGAAAAAAAATATCACCCATTATATCACTCTATCAGGACTGTCCTCGTTTCTTTAATTTACAGAAAATTCTGTAATTATGATATCAGTTAATAAACAGTACCCATAAACACTTTTAAAATCTTATAATTATAAGTTAAATGTTCGATCAAATTAATTAAGGTTGTTCCGTCCTTGTTTCTCTTTCATAAAGAAGTTGCCACATTTAATTATTTAATCCAAATAATATTAATAATAATTACTCCAATTTTTTATTATATAATAATTGCTCCAGGTACGCATATTTGCCAAACACTGTTGGAGTACAAAAGTTGATAGGCATTGTCGTGGCACACGTGATGCAGTACCTGACCTCAACGAAGTAATTAAATTACAATATAATATATAAAATATATTTTTATTTATATTTGTTTAAAACAATAGTGCGACCTACTATAGTTATTATAATCAAATTATTTAATTTATACTTAAGCATTACTCTATGTTAACAAGTCAATAATTCATATTTCCAGAGGGGTGATCTAATGAATAAAATATAATTATTGTATTTAAAAATTACAAATTTACTCTCAAATGTAGGTTTCCCAAGTCACAAAAAAAAAAATAATAATATTACTTTAAAATATTATTTGAATTAAATACTTGATAAAAATAAATGGACAATATGATATTATTATTTGGATTGTGAAAAATTAGCATTTTTTTTGAATGTTTGTTTAATGAATGGCAGGATGGTATAAGGTTCAAAATGGGTGGAGTAGAAAAGGCTTTGAATCCAATAATTTGTGCTCCACTGCATGGGGGAAACTATGACTAAATGGGAAAAGTTAGTTACGATACAAAAGTTAGTTAAGAAACACAAACTGTCATTACAAACAAGATTTTTTGTTTGTTTCTCACTAAACAAAATCACAAACTTGTCTATTATCCATTCTCGTTCCAAGAACATTAATTTGGTGAGTAATTTCCATTCCTCATTAACATGCATGAAAAAATGGTTGTTTCAATGGTGATTAATTTCATTTCTTTGAGTGTTCTTTATTGATATAGTTTTCTGGAACTAAAATATATAAAATCTGCATTGAATCATAATCAATTTCTCCAACTGGGATACATTATTTATATGCAGACTGGTGTTTATGTTGTCATCTGGGTTGAAATATGTGAAGATTTTGTTGGTGTTTCTGTTCTTGAAAAGAATTAGGAGATGGGAATGTTTTGGTGTTGCAGGGTTTCTGAGATTAAGACGATGAGGAAGCAGAATCCCTTGAAAAGCTCCAAGAGTACTGTGAATGAGGCAGGGACTTCCACCAAATATGAAAATGAAGGAGGGGGCCTGGCTTCCATTGCCAGAAGTCTTTCCATGAAAACAGGTAAGGTATCATTAATTGGAAGCTAAGATAAAAACTTGTTTGATTCCTTGGATTCCCAAGAAGATATATAGATTGTAAATTGTAAAATGCTGTAATTTTCTTGATTCGATTAAAAAAAAGAACACATTTTTGAATGGGGTGCAGGGATGAACAAGCAAAAGCAGCTAGCAGAAGACATTGGGTATGAGGACATAAAAATTGCAACAGAAGTGTTCACATTTCGCGAGCTAGCCAACGCGACAGACAACTTCAATCCGGAGCTGTTAGTGGGGGAAGGAGGATTTGGGAGGGTATATAGAGGGCATATCAAAAGAACAAATCAAGTCACATCTCTCTCTCTCTCTTTCTCTCCTCTTGCTTTTACTTGTTAGTTTTCTGTGTTGAGCATATAGCCATTAACGTGCAATCCAACTATCAGTTTAGGCTTTTAGTTGAGATGGAGCACATGCTTCAATTTGGTATCAGACGGTCCACGTGTTGCTTGGAACCCACCGCACACGTGAGGGGGTGTGTTGAGCATATAGCCATTAATGTGCAATCCAACTATCAGCTTAGGCTTTTAGTTGAGATGGAGCACATGCTTCAATTTTCTGCTGAAATGTTTAAATAATTTCTTGCAGTCTCATTGACTACATTGCTCCCATTTGCGTACAGATTGTTGCAGTGAAGCAACTGGACAGGAATGGTGTTCAAGGGAACAGGGAATTCCTGTCTGAGGTCTTCATTCTCAGCGTTGTTAACCACCCGAATCTCGTGAACCTGATGGGATATTGTGCTGATGGGAATCAAAGGATTCTAGTATACGAGTTTATGTGCAATGGGTCGTTGCAAGATCACATTTTTGGTATGCATTCATATCAGATTTCTTATGTTTTAGCAGATGCATTCATACAGTAAGTCTTATCTGCTGCTTTCCAGATTTGCTTCCAGGCAAGAGGCCTATGGATTGGTATACCAGATTACAAGTGGCTAAGGGTGCAGCTCAGGGGCTGGAATACCTGCATAACACAGCCAATCCTCCAATAATCTATCGCGATTTCAAAACATCAAACATATTATTGGACGAGTTTTTCAACCCGAAGCTCTCTGATTTTGGGCTCGCAAAGCTAGGACCAACCGGGGAGCAAGATCACGTGTCTACCAGGATAATGGGCACGTATGGGTATTGCGCCCCCGAGTATGCTAAGACTGGACAGCTCACAGCCCAGTCCGATGTTTACAGCTTCGGAGTTGTCTTTCTGGAGATCATTGCAGGGAGGAGAGTGATTGATAACACCATACCAACTGAGGAACAGAACCTGGTTTCTTGGGTTAGTTTTAGTTTATTCATCTGCAACTTAAATCCTTAAACCCTTCAAAATTATGTTCTTTTTGCAGGCAAAACCAATTTTTACTGACAGGCAAAGATTCACATCATTGGCTGACCCTAAACTTGAAGGACACTACCCACCAAAGGGCATGTACCAAGCTCTTGCTCTTGCAGCTATGTGCCTCCAAGATGAAGCTAATATTCGGCCTCTAATTTGCGACGTTGTGAGTGCCCTCGAGTACTTAGCCACCCCAAACGAGGAGTGGAATAGCACAGCCGATGTAGACTACTCCAATTGCCTGTTCATTCCCCAAGATGCTTCTGAAAGCACTTCCAGAACCAATTGATCCAGCAAGCAGGTTATGCAGGATGAAGAAAGGGTTGATCAAAACAAAGATCACAAGTGTTTTTACATTTATAAGTTTTTAAGCATGTACTATGTTTCAGAAGGAAATCAGAGTTTGCAGATTTTCCAACCCCATTTCATACTTCATTCAATCTTTCTAAGCCATTTCAGAAGAAAATTCTTGATCTGATTTTGAGGTTATTACTATCATGAAATGATGAACATAAATAAACCTGATCAGATACCTTAAACAGGTCCCAGGAAGCTATATATATATGTGGGCAATGAATCAAACACATGAAATATGTGGGGGGTGAAAAAAAGAAAAAAAAAAACAAGAAAGCTGAGAGTAAAGTGCTGAGAACTTATAAGAACCTGACATGAAAACTATGAAAGAACTACTGTTTGTTCCTGGAATCTCTTTGAATCAACTTTAAGATTTACATAGCTGAATCCTCGGATTTCGTTCATCCTATGGGTGTCAGAAACATCCACCAGAGAGCAAACGCTCTGTAATCCTCCTCCTCCACTCACCCTTCTCTTCTTCTTCTTCCATTTCAACATCATCAAGAACCCAAAACCAGGCCATGAAGATGAAGAACCACCACCCACAGAGCTCTGAGGCTTCAATGGGGATCCGCCGCAAGAAAACTCCATTTCCAGCTTTCTGAAATACTCGATTTCCTTCTTTAAGAGTGATCCGATCGTCCCCCGCGTGCCAACTTCCACGGGAGCGCTTGCACCGCCACTCATTCTATTATCTGCAGGTACCCTGCTGCCTATGCTGCTGGCTCTGTACAACATTTTTCTGAGTTTTTTTGTTTTTTGTTTTTGTTTTTTGTTTGTTTGATGAATCTATGGAGGCTTGTTGGTGACGAAGAATGATTGATGATTTTGATGCTTTGAGAATGGAATAGCTATCTTTACTCTCGGGCTTAATGATGTGTTTATAGTCATGCTTTTTCCTCCACAGTGGACAGCATGAGCCACTGCATAATTGTTATTTTTTAATAGTGGGATTAATGATGATGTGGATGCAATCACCATCCATTCTTGCAATCAAAGCATATGTAAAAAAATCCAAAATTTAGTTGAGTGATTAGAACATATTTTCGTACTAAAAAATTATAAGTTTAATTCTTATTAATATATTTTTGATTAAATTAGTGACATAATCTTTCTAGTACAAGTATACTAGTCGGATAATGACTTCCCCGACTTCCTAACTAAAAGCAAAACATATGTAAAAAAGTATTTTGTATAGATTGCTAAAACTCACCTTTCTTTCTTTTTGACTTTCTATTTGGCATCATCATCAAGGCAATTGAGCACAAGTAATTAATGTGTTTTACCTAAACATTGGTCTTTTCTTCTTCTTTTTCTTTCTTTTTTTTTTTTTTAGGTTAGTATATTTTTCCAACTAATCATTTTTTAATTTTTATACATATAACAACTTGGAAAGTGGGAGATTAGTAAAATCAAAGTCACAACATACTCCCATCAAAGAAAACTTATAGCTGCATTCACTGATCTTCTACCAAGAAAGATTGTTAGAAGTAGAAATCAAATTAAAACTATTTTCAATAAAAGTAATGTTGTTACTCATTTAATTAAACACTATGTACTTTTTTTGGAGCAAAGTCTAGTTAGTCAATTAATTTAAAATAATCCCATAAACTTTACTTTGTTAACATTTTCATGGTTAAAACTTATCAAACTTTATATGAGCTCTACTAGGTTAACATTAATCAAGCTCTATATACTTTTTGACTAGCTAATGGCATGCATAAGAGAAAAGAAAGATGAGTAGAAGATGGCATTTAGCTTTGTTGTCATTGCCTCTCTTTTATTTAATTTAATGATATTTAATTAAGCTTTGGAGTCGTTTACTAACGTTCTATAATTTTCTATTTTCTATTTTTAATTTATAATATATATATATATACTCACTAATTGCAATAATTTCAAATAAATTATTTTGCAACAAAATATGATTACAAATAAAATTGAGTACACCATCAGTGATTATAATTTTTCAAGAGAGCATTTGCAATGTCCTCAGACAGTTGTAACATTTGATGTTGTTGACTCAAATCTAATTGTAGGGTATCATTTCCATCTCCACTAGTATTTCCACCATCATCCAAAATCATAGCTTGCATTCCGTACATCATACCTAATTGATCATCCCTATCTTCCGATCGTATGAAATTGTGTAATGCACAACACGCCAATAGGGATTTGGCTTTGTCTAATCAATGGATAACCATCATGGACTTTAGAATTAGAAATCTCGCTTTAAAAGTCTAAAATATTTCTCAATCACATTACGCAATAATGAGTGACCATAATTAAATAGAGCTTGCTTATTTCGTATTCGTCCTTAGCCACATAGCTCTCCCCCGATATGGTGCCAAAAAACCACATAACTCTCCACGCAATATGGTGCCAAAAAACCAGGTACATTTGGGTAACCACCATCAACAGCGTAGTAATTACCTATTAATCTGAGAAAAAAGACTACAGTTAAAGTACTAACTTATTAATTTTAGAAACTTAATGAATACACTAAGTTAAATAATTTAAATTAAGTTATTCGAATACTCTTACCTTCACGTTGAGTTTCTACATAGAGTCACTCTCTTCCTCTTCCAAGTCACTCTCTTCCTCTTCCATCAATAAGAATGCAACACCAACCAAAATTATCACTGCACAATAATCTTCATCATCACTATCACTAGAGCTATCAGAACTAGTATAACCATCATTCATCATACTAGCCTCTTCCCTGGCTTTTCGGCGTTGTTCTTTCGAACTCATAGCGGCATTGACACTTTCCAATGCATTGCTTATTGCATCCTTCAACTTCTCGTTAGTGCTCTTCTTCGTGCTACCACCAATATCCATCGTGTCATCCAAACTCCTTTTCCCTTTGGAACTGGTACCACCTGTATCGGGCCATTTTGCATCATCCTCATTCGTTTCTGAGGAGTTATTCATCTAAGCAAATGTACAGTCATTAATATATTGCATACTCGTGCCTCTGGAAAACACTGACTATATTTGTTTCTAATGACACAATATAATTCACAAGCAAAATAGAACATAAAGAGCAAAAATACAGAGAAGCCACCCAATCCATGAAACCCAGATTTCAAAACTGTTTCAAGAACCACCATTACAAATGCCCAGGAGCAAAAATCACGAAGAGGGGGTCTGCATTTATTTGCCCATGGAACGCATCAAGAACAGCTCGACAAGAATGTAAAAACATCACAGAATCGCAGCATAAACTTAATTAGTTGTGTCATTTTTCAGTTTTAGTCGCATGGCACTATGGCAGTAGAGAATAAGACTGGCACGCATATTTACAGATAGCTTCATGGAATTTGAAGAGAACTCAACTATATATATGAAATCGGAAAAGCTACATGGATTATAAAATCCAGATTTGTTCACACGCACATTGAACCAGAGAACTCGGCACTACATCGTTACAGACACAAAGGAAAAGGGGAAAATCTACCAGGCATAAAATCCTACACAACACTACCTATTCACACGCACATTGAACCAAAATCTCATATCAGTTCAACTAAATATTCAATATTTGTTCATATTTTCAAATAAATTTCTTTGAGAACCCGAATGGTTTACCTTAGAAGGAGGTGATGGACAAGATCCAACAGATGATTTGGGTGACTCCATTTTTGGAGAGAACTCACGACTGGTATAGAGAGGCTCGAAGCGGACCGCCGTCTGGTACTATACAGAGATGATCCGAGCGGAGGTCCGTCTGAGATCAGTGGAGCACCGTCTAGATTGTTTGATGGCTTTGGAGTAGATCCGACAGAAGGATGCACAGAAGTCGAAGAAAGAAAAAGTGAAGAAGAAAGCTGACTGTACTTCACCAGTATTTTCAATTTTTTTTTTTTTTTTTTTTTTTTTTTGGGTTGGTATATTTTTCCAACTAATCATTTTTGGAGCACAGTAGGGTTAGTTAACTAATCCAAAATAATCCCATAAATTTTACTTTGTTAATAGTTACATGGTCGAAACTTCTCAAATTTTATATAAGCTCTATCAAGTAAACATTTATCAAGTTGTATATACTTTTTGACTAGCTAATGGCATGCATAAGATAAAAGAAAGATGAGTAGATCAATAAGATGGCATTTAGCTCTGTTGTCATTGCCTTCCTTTTATTTAATTTAATCATATTATTGTTTATGTTAATATGATTAAATATGGAATAAGTTGGTATCATGTGCATTCATGAATGGAGTCTGGCTAGCAATAGATATCAGTAGGTAGGCTTTAAAATTTGAGGGAGGGTGGTATATTTGAAAAATACTTTTTTTATGCGTAAAAATATAGTCAATAGTTGCAGCAATAATTTAATTTGAAGATAGCTGACTAAACAAACAATATCATATTTCTTAATATTTGATCTGAAGGCCTTACAGCAAGCTCATTAGTTAGTGTTTTTTGCAGGAATGGCAAGCAAAGAGAAAATGGGAGAGGAAAACAAAAAAAGTTTAAGCTGAGCGAAGTAGGTGCGCAAATTTTAAGCACAGTAATTGGGTCCCACAAAAACTACATTTGTAATAGAAAAAATCATGAAAAAAACTACCACTCCCATTTGTTGAAAAACTACATGCATGTTTTTTTTATATGAAAAAATTATGGAAAAAATCACTAATGAAAATGCTCTTAATTAAAGGCAACCAATTATTATTATGTGGACCGTAATTTGACTACAGAAATTTTTTTTATTACAATTTTTTTTTTATTTTAACATCAAAACAATATCGTTTTGAACTGTGGTCTAAATCAGCAATAATTTGCCAATGGAAACCAAAGTTATTCTTGAATCATAGGTTGTTAGTTAGTGTCATGTGTATGCAACAATACTATTCGGGGAACTGTTTCCAAATGAAACCTAATTAATATAAGACTAGATTAGTATCATCAATGAGAATGTGATATCAGCACATATTCTAACACACACACACACACACACAAAAATCTGTTAACCAAAAAATAATAATATAAATTGAAGTAAAAACCAAAAGTTAAATGAGACATTTTATTAGTGTTGGAAATCAATGAACAACAAAGCCTCATAATTAATTAAATGAAACCTCTATTTTTTTTTTCTACCTCCGCATCTTATGCAATCTCTTCTATTTATTTGTTTCTCATTTTCAGTTTGTCTTCCATATACAAGTATGATGCTCTATACAAAATTGTGTAACAGTAACGGTAAGTGCTCATAATTAAATGTTTTTTTTGTTTTTTTGTTTTTTCATCAGAAAACGCCATCTTTGATAGTCTGTCTGGTGAAGGAAGAGAGCGAAGTATTCTTATGTTACACTGGGACGATGACAGGAATACCTGAGGCTCCGATGGGAGGCAAGAGCTCGTTTTAAGGCATCCTCTATTCTTGAACTGCCCTGAAACAGTGCGTCGTAGAATGCTGAAACAAAACCAGACAGCTCCCCGTCGTTATCATCCCAAAACAACGTAGGGCACCCTCCTCCATCTTCATCCGGCTCGCCATCTTCCCAATCACTGGCTGTGCTGGAAGCTCCGGTATCTTCGTTTTCTAGCTCATCTTCTCCAATCTCAAACTTCACATTCTCGGGAGCGTTAAATTCCCCTGACCCATCCAATGTTGGCAGATGCATTTCGTCGGGCTCAGCAGAAGGACATATAACAGCTTTAGCGCCCGAGTCTAGAAATGCCTTGATTAAAGATTGTGTAGGACCATATAAACCCGTGAAGAATATAATCCTGTCCCTCCAAGCTCCAACCTTGGATGTTCAACAAGGTGAGTTAGTCTGGCTTGTTTGTAAATAAAAAGGGAGAGTGATGTGAAAAACAAGACATTAAACCGGCCATATTGTGCACATAGATGGCACCCGGGTTGGACTCCCATATGGGAGGTTGTGATTTCGAGTCTCAGTGGAGGCGTTATTGGCTCTTTGTGTTTCAATAGGTTAAGAAAATAGCTATGAACAGATACTACATTGTAATAGAGTCAGTAGCATTCAAAAAAAAAAAAAAAAAAACCGGCCATATTGAATACTATGGTATTGCAGGGGAATATAGAATATAGATGGATGATCAATAAAATCAAATATCAGGGAAGAAGGCATTACCATCCACCGAACATCTTTATCGGTTATGTGCATTGAAGGGACTGTTCTACGAAACATGTAGGCGCCAATTTCGTGGTCATCTTCCATGACCTTTCAGAAAGAAGGAGACAGGTAATGTAATTAGCATGGCAACAAAATAAAGTCCTTGTCCAATCGTAAATGGAGGAGGTGTGAGTGGGACATACTTGAGTTTGGCGCCCAATAAAACGGTGGACAACACCTCCAATTTGAAAGTATGGTCGACACGAAACCAGATCAGCAACAGTGGAGATACTGTTGATAACTGACGCAGACTTATTCCTCTGTCCTCGTATCATTGACAATAAGCTGAGTTTGACACTCTGCAGAAACCTTTCTGCTAGTTCTCCTGGTTCAGCGACAACAAATACATCATTCTGCCAACTACATAAATTTAAAAGGGGATTAGGATGAAGCGAAACTTTCAAACAAACAAACAAACAAAAGAATGGCATCAATGGAAACTCTAACCTCAATATAGATCCAGATGGGTCATTTTGAAGAGCCAGGTGCACAACTCCAACTTGAGGTGAATTTTGTAATTTCTCATACAAAGATTGGACTAGCAAAGATAACTGCCGGCTTTTTGCAGGTGATTCAGGAGGCGATGCAGCCACTTTTGTTGATTGAAATCCATCTAAGCTTAATGGAGGCACTAAATCAATTCTACCAACCTTATGATGCCCAACATCAGGATTGTATAGGAAAGGGCTAGACGGGAAGCTTCCGGTGAATAAAGGTGAAGACACGGATGCTGGTAAACTTGATCCAGCTGCATTTACAGTCCCCGATACACCATTGAAAAGGAATAGCCTTATTCTATTATTGGTACAAAATGATTCGAGTGAGCGAGCATGGTGAAATACTCTTCCAGAATCTGGACTATTAGAAGCCTCCACAAGAAGGATACTCCGCCTCCAGCCTAAAGCAGGGCCTCTCTCATCTAAACCCATGAATTCCACAAGTAATATAAGTTCAGATTAACTTTCTCAACTACAAAATCAACAGCTAGACATTATAAAAGGATACAGCACATATACCAGATTTTGAACTGTTTGTTTTGGGAAATTTCTGAGACTTTACATTATCCAATTGTTTCTCATCTTGCAGACAAGCTAACAACCTTTCACAGAGATTCTTAAAAGCAGAGGATGTATTTTGCATGTACTCATCTGTTGCAGCCTCAAGTTTCGACCAAACCGCAGGATCTGTTTCATCAAGCTCCATATCACAGCGCTCATCAACTGCAGAAGCAATCATGTAATGCCTGTTATAAGAGGATATGCCAGTAACACTTAAAAGTGAACAGGTCTAGGTAGCTAAAGATTCAAAAATTCAATATTTCTCTCCAACAATGGGAGATAATTTATTATTTAAAAAAAAAAACAACCTCACCTGGATTAAACCGAAAATAATGCATTTCAGGAAGCATAGGAAGTAGTGCACTTAAAGCTTCCTCCACCCGATCAACTGAGCATGCACTCTCTATCAACACTTGGCCAGTATCCAGATATCGCCATCCACCTTTCCTAACCTAGTGTAGCAGGAAAATAACACCAAATAAATGGAACAAGTAGAATATTAATAAACATGATACTACTAGGATAGAACTCAAAACAAGGTTCTAATTTTAAATAAACCTTCCTCATCGGTAAGAAGTTATCTTTTTAACAAAATAACAGTGGTTCACTCAACAACTCATCTATACAGACCACAAACGTAGCAAAACTCCCTTGTGTTTACCTTAGTTACAACAGAACCGCATCCTACAGAAACTAAGCAGTCAATTCTTGCATCTGGCCACAATAGCTGTGCTTCACGTATGGCAAAAACAGTAGGATTATTTGCTACAATAGCACCATCTTGCCAACGGTATACTCCTGGAGAAAAGAGATGAATCAAGAAAAATAATGCTAATGACTAAGGTTTAAAAATAATTTACTGGGACAAACTTAAATCCAAATTCCAGAAAGCAAAAAGAAGGTACCATCAGAAAAATCATCAAGATAATATGGCGCAGCAGATGATGCTCGTATGGCTTGCCAAATATGATGCTTACAGCTTCCAATGAAAGCATTACGCTTATAACCAATTTCAGCACCTGTACTAGCTGCTCCTGCACCTCCAGTTCCCATATTCTCTGTGATTGAAGGAGAAATCTCTGCTGTGCCAGGTGGGTACTGCACTTAAAATGAAGTCATCTTACAAAACATTTATGATAAATTAGAACAAAGGAACAACCATGCACTTAAAATGAAGTCATCTTACAAAACAATGAAACATTAATGATAAATTAGAACAAAGGAACAACCAAGACTGGTGTTTTACTCCATATAATGACTTACGGCACACTAAATTGTATGTTCATGTCAGACCTGATAATTACGGAATATGAAGGGTTGAGCTGGTGACACATTGACAAGAGTTGATACTACAAAAACTTTGGGGGTCCTTTTCACTGATGACTCTATTAGGAGATCTCCATCTTCATCAGCACACATCTCTTTCAACAATCTCTCAAACTGATCTGCACTGTGCTGGAAGCAGATAATAGGTTATCCAAATCTTATAGCATAATGGTGATTCTCAAAACAGAAGCACTTCAGGTACCACTACTTATAGCAAAATCTTCCGAGGAAAAATACAAATTCCAAAATAGCAAAGCAACCTCTAGGATTTATGTTGTTGACAATTTCAAGCAATTTTCATATTCTCATTAAAAAAAATAAAAAAAATAAAAAAAAAAAGAGTATATTATGAAACCTTTTAATTTTTCTGGAGGATTCCAAGATACTAATGATTTTTAAATATGACAAAAGTAAAGTAAGAGACATTAAATTTAGAAATGCAATTAAATGAAAATAAAACAAAGGAAAAGAAATGGCATCAGTGCATCACATACTTTAGATCCATGCACAACAACTCTGAAACTTTGTGAGGAACTTTTATAGAGCTGATCAAGTTTTTCCCTCCAAGATGCAGCTTCATTGTCCTTTGGAACAGGTTCAGCAAAAACAAGTTTTCCTGCAAAAGTGCATTGCAACAGGGTAAGATAAAGGACAAGGAAATGATGATTAGAGCCGGTACGTCCATGTAAAAGAAATGATGGCTAACATAGAACATATTTAAGTTTTTAGGAAAGAAAACACACCAAGTTTTTTGTATATTTCTTCACATTTTTCCAAAGACATCAATTTGATTCCAAGAGCAACTGCAAGCATGCCACCCGTTGATGTTCCACAAATAAGGTCAAAAAGTTCATGTATCTGCTTTCCAGTACCCTTCTCAATCTCTTTAAGAATTTTTACAGTTGCAAGACCTTTCATGCCACCACCATCCATCGCAAGTATGCGTAACCCCTGTTTGGGCACCTGTCTACCTCTAATAGCACGCCGTAAAACCTCGTTCTCCCCTAAGGTGGCAAAAAGTAAGTTATACCAGAAACAAATTTAGAGCCCAATATAACATCCTATAACCAGCAAAAACAAACCTAGAATTGCCAGAGCACGAGCCGCAGCCTTGCTCACACGAGACTCTGATGCAGATGTCAGATGCAAAAGAAGTTCTCTTAGACTTTCTGAAGTAACAAGAACACGACGGTTTTCCAAGTTGAAAGCTAAATTTCCGACTGCAAATAAAGCTAGCCTTTGTACCTAACCAGAGATAGTATATTTATATTCAAATGAATAGGGAACAAACAGATGATAACCAGAACACACACACATGTATAAGGTGAGGAAAAATAACAATGACCATGGCTTGCCTCTGAATTTTTGTGGGCACATAAAATTTTCAATGACTTCAATATATCCCTTCTAAACATCTTTTGAGAAACAGTATCAGATGCAAAAGCCAACTTAGTGAAAACTTCCAACACAGAAATCACTTCATCAGGTCCAGAAGATGTAAGTACTCTTTCAACGGGTTGCATGATATCAGATTTCATTAACATCATTGCCACAGTAACATCTGACGCAAGAGTAGTAAGTGCAGAGCAAGCTTGATTCACCTAAAGGAAAGAAAATCAATTAGACAAAAAGTCTGGAAAAAATAATATAGAATAAAATAAGCATTTCAAAAATTAGAAGCTACTATACCACGTGCTGATTTTCACTAGTTATCATACTTATGAGCTGCCTCACAGCATTCTCATCTTTACCAACAAATGTACGATGTCCCTCGTCTTGCATAATCTTAGCCAGGGCAGATGCTAGCAGCGGATGGTGACAAGAAGAGAACCGGAATATGAGAGAGAAGAAGGCACTCAGTTTATGTCGGGATGCTGCGAAGTAAGAACTATTCTCCATCTGCAATGAAATCAAAAATCCACATTTTATATAGCTAAACTCATGAGTGGGGGGAAGAAGAGAACTTCATGACGAACAATCAATACCTCTATCTGTACATTTACAGATCTTAAATGGTCATCTGCCACAATCCTAATATTGGCAAGAGATAAGTTACGTAGTTTGCGTAGAGATAATATATCTGGAAGAAATTCTAGAGGATTGCCAAATAGCCTTAGAACACATAAGTCAAGCATAGCCCTGCCATTAAGCTGACGCAAAACATTAGATGTCAAGAAAGAATTAATGTAAGGTTTACAAGGCATTATAGGTGTTGATTCAAAGACCTGAAATCAAGAAGAGGTCGGACCAGCTTGTTATGTTCGAGTGACAATTCTACTAGCCCAACACATTCTCTCAACTTGACTGCTCAGAGGTTCCCAATTGTGAAAAGAAATAGAGTAAAGAGAAAGAGTCAACCAATCAGTTATACCAATAGGTTATGTGTTTCCATTTTCTTTTCAGTGCCTGTTACAAACTTGATATGATAAACAATGTAATTGACTGATTGCAATAAAAATATTATCAACAGCCACACATCTGTTATGAATAAATGTAATAGTTTGAATGTTACCAGGGACAGAGACCAATATGTTACAGTCAGCAGCAAGCACTTTCAAGTTCTTCAGCTCACCAAGCTCAGGTGGTAAAGTCGACAGCTTGTTGTTGTCAAGGTATAGCCTTTCAAGAAGAGAGAGCTGTGCTATCTCTACAGGCAACACCTGAAGATGGTAGAGCATGATATTAACAGTTGGTTGATATAACCAGAGTATCAAACCAAGTCAGGGGAAAAGAGAGGCATTTGATCTAAAATAATAGGAAAAGATACTAAATATCAGCTTAATCAGTATATATAAGGTAATTAAGCACATATTGACTGACTTGGGAAGTTAAAAAGCAATCATCTCTTTGCAAAATCAATTTAAGCAATACACCAATACCATAGCCTTTAGTTTCCCTTTACTCCTTTAGGCATCCAATTCACTAGTTGATATCACTATAAGTTTCAAGGGGAGGTATTCTCAAAATCAAAAGGGTCTAGAATGCAAGATATTAGCCAATTATGATCATCAATCATGAGCACCCACACCATATTTTCCCTAGTGAAGACAGACCAAATACTACCACATAAACAGAACAATACTTGAGAAAATTAGTTATAAAACTTGAACGAAATTAAATAGTTATCTCAGTCTCTAGTGAGTTTGATCAGAGAAGTTGGAAAATAAAACAAATGTATGGTTTGCCAAGCCCAAGTTGGTCATATTTCATGGACAAACCTCAAGACCATTCTCCCCCAGTTTCTGAGTAGTCAGTACCCAATCACTTCAACATTAAAGGTGTAAGGAAAAGTAGCTAAATACAGACATATTGAGATACAAAATACAATAATAGATGAAAAAGGAACCCACTGTTAGTCCAAGACCAGAGAGGCTAACAACAGTGACACTCCGCCAATGCTCAGCACAGCCTCCAACTATTTCCTCACCATTACTGGACCCAACAACATCATTGCAGAAATTGGACCTCATCAACTTCAAGAACATCCCCACACCATCAGCTTGATGTCCTGAAGTCCCCGCCTTCCACATCAACACCCCTTTCAATGGCTCCCTCCTCTTAACCACCCTCATTTCCACGCTTACCTCCCCCATTCCACAACCCTCAACGTCTCCGCTTTGGCACCTCTCCTTGAGCTCGATCTCCACCGCATCGTGCGGAGACGGCAGCCCCATCATGACCTGCGACTGCAGCTTCAGCGCCACTTGATCCTCGTCATCACCCGCATTCCAATCCAGCTCAATCCTACACCCCAACTGCTGCGCTTCCTGAAACAACTTGGTCGGAGAGGAATCAGAGAGCGGCGAACCACCCCCGGAGGGCGACGACGACGATCGAGATGACTTGGGCGAGCCCTCATCCGGGAACTCGTCGGAGCCGTAGCTCAGAGCCAGGTGGAAAACCTCCGAGGGACGTTTCCAGCCCAGTCCCCATGACATTTCCACATGCGATGTTGATGTTGATGTTCGATCGGATCAAGGGCGTCGGAGGAATTCGAGACTGATTCGCATAATAATGGATTCTAGAGAACGTAAGTCTGAGCAGTTACCTCTTGCCGGCTGTAACTATAGATATCATAAATGTGTATGTATAGGCCGGAGAGACCAATGTCGATACAGAAAGAAGAGAAAGCCGATAGCTGCAAAGGAGTTGTGAATTTGTGGATTTGAATATTCTTATTCGGTTGATGTTCCTCGCGGGGACGATCGATCGTAACCGCCGTGCAGGGCGCTCTAATGGAAATTGAAAAGACCGCAAACGTTATGAGTACGTTGTCGTTTTCGTCATCTTCTCTACCATTATACGACACCGTTTCAACCATATGCCTTCCTATTTATTTATTTTTTTTTCTCTAAATTTAAAATTTAAATTCTCCCCTCATTTTTCCCTTCAATTATTTCCTTTCAAAAAAAAAGTCATTTTTATATATGGTGGCTTTAAACGTCAATGGAGTAGAGGTGAATACAATGAATCCAATGGTTAGTTTTTAATTAATTGATATATATACATATTATATTAAAAATATTGTTGATAATTTGGGTAGTAATTATGGTATGATTAGTATTATTAAAGTAAGAATTTAATATATGATAAATTACTAAATATAATTATGATAACATTTTATTTTAATTAAAATCTAATGAAATCAAAGTTATTTCTCATAATAGCATGTCTTCACATATAATTACCATTGAAGAATATAAGAAAAAAAATATTGTACATGCATGTACATGGTAATATAAATAGAAAAAGATAACAAAAGTTATAACGAGAGAGATATTTTTGTTCAAAAAATTATATAGTACAACTCTTCACAAGGTATAAAAAAATATTTAACGACATAAAACCAGAGATATACTCTGGATTGAGACTTATTATATTTTTATATAAATTATATATATATATATATATATATATATATATATATATATATATATATATATATATATATATATATATATATAATTGCACTCAGGTGCGAATGAAGCGCCCAAGAGCGAAAATGCGAACATATTAGTGCGCGACACGTGTCCAGATCTAATGGATTAAAAAACGCGGTGACATTTTCGTAAATAATTGAACATCAAAATGCAAGTAAAATGTATTACAAGTGCATGTAAAATGTATTATAGGTGCAAGTAAAATTTACACTGAGCATCAATACTAAGTGTACCTATAGTTATAAGTACTTGCACCAATAAGTAGTTGTACCTATAGTTATAAGTAGGTGCACCTAAGTGCATGAATGTTTGTGGGAAGTGAATGTTAACAAGGTAAAATTACATGCACTTATAGATGAAAGTAAGTGCACTTGTAAGTGATTTTACTTGCACTTCGATGTTCACTTATTTACAAAAATGCCACCGTATTTTTTTCTCTGAGCACTTATTCGCACCTGAGTGCATATATATATATATATATATATATATATATATATATATATATATATATATATATATATATATATGAGAACTCGGTTTCTTGTGAAAATTGTGGATAAATGTTAGGCATTGATTTAGTAAATCTAGCAAAAAATGTTGTGACATTTTATAATTATTATAAATTATAAATTTTGTCCATGTACTTGGAAAAGTTTAATAGTGCATTTTTGTTCAATAAACAATGCACTCGATATGTTTTAAAAAAAAAATACGCTCAATATCTATACTAATATCTACAGATATACTATCAAACATTTTCAAATGTATTGATGAACTTTGAAAATTGAAATAATTACAAAAACATTACCGCATTTTCTTTTCAACCATTAAATCTCTCAAGATGAATGAACGTGATTGTTCACAGTTATCAAAGAAAACCTAGCTCCCATGAAACCAACACACACATATATTATATATATAGTACTCACTCTTTACACACATACCAGACCTTATAATTGAATGAACTCCAAAGACCACATTGATTTCAACTAAATATCCACCAAAAGAGTACAAACTCAATTCTACCATTCAAATACTTTTTCATGTTTTGAGAGAATCAAACAACATTTTACCAAGGATCAAACTAACACTGTGTTTCTGCTCATTGCATTTAAGTTTGTCTCAGAATTCCAGCCTCCCAGCAGCCAAGTCAAACATCACTTCCAATTCTCGTTTTACTCCATCATCAGCAAAGATGAAATCAATGGCATTCCTTGCCAGCTGAAACATCTCTCTTTTGTGTATACCTATGTGAAAATCGTAACAGAATATAAATCATGATCTAAAGTACAATGGCTGTACACGTTAAACACGTACCAAATGCAGATGAGGCCAGGATGTATTCCCGAGATGAGCTGGTGGAGAAAACACCAGTATCATCAGTGCACAACACAATCGGATGCTTAGAATTGTATAAATCAGCTGCAATCAAAAGTCAAAACAGTGGTGTGCATTACACACTTGGTTTACGTGGTGAATTATAGCACAGTCGAGAAGCTATATTGAAAAATAGAAAAAAGGCTGAATTTCTGTTTATTTTCCCTGGATTATAATCTGACTGAAAGCTAGTATTGTACAGAAAAGAATCAAAAGATCTAACCGAAATGGTGAACATCCACAGAAGAAATGGTTTCGGTTTTGATGTTGGATGTCAAGCAAATTTCAACCTGAAAACACACACGAGGAGGATTTAGACAGGAAAATGGATCATGGAAGGAAGAATCAATCATCACATGTATCGCATATGTTTGTGTATATCCTACTCAAAGATGGAAATGAACATGCAATTCTAACCGGAATCTTTGAGGACTTCAATTTTCTCCACTCCTCCTCTCCGAGGCAACAAGCATGGCCAATTCTTGCAGGTAGAAAATCTAGCATTGCATGGATTTCCTTGGGGTTTGGTACCTAAAAGCACTAAGAGTGAAATAAGCCAGTCAGAGAAGCTCCAGTTCGACACGGGATGTAAACATTCAATTGAGAAGCCAAGCCAAATGCACCTCTCCACAATGAAGAGTGATTGAAAGTCCCTGTTCTTTAGCAAACTCCAGCACAGGCAGAAAAGTTTGCCTATGTATAAATGACCAATTAGAAATAGAAAACTCATAGAGCCTGTGGAAGACAATGATGAAAACAAAACAGAGAATCTCTTGCAGATAAAACGGTACCATTCACCAATGACAGGATTGCCTGAAAGGTCGATTCCCACTACTCCTAAATGTCTCATTTCCAGAGCAAGTTTAACCTTCATAAAGAAAATAAAAGAAGTTAAAGGGCATTGGCATTTAAGCAATGTATTCAAGTTAAACCTCATTCACCATTAATCTGAACAACAACATACCGTTTCCATAGCAGCTTCAGTGGTCTCACGCCGGTCTATACTGAGAAGAAGTCTCACATAAATCTTCTTTCTTTGTGTTCCATTTTTCGTATCATATAGTGTATGAGCATTAGCATGACATTCTACTTCTGAATCACGAAAAATGTCAACCTCGACAGTACTAACAGCCCTTAAACCCTCCAGAACTGCCTCCATGTATGACCTCTTACTCATCCCTTTGGAATCATTCCTCTGCATTAAGGAAGGTTTTAAAAAATGTCAAAAAGGGGTTTGTATGTTTCAAAATGATTTTATACATCCCTAAGAATTATACTCAGAAGCTCCCTTCCTGTGTAGAAACTGAAATGAAACTATATATGGAGTCTAATCAATCTATAGCTCTGAAATGAAACCACACGCTTGAATACCTTTGGAGTTGTCCTTAGCTCCAAGTATACAACGTTCTCTGCAGCAAAATCTTCAACTACCTGTTTATCCATAAAATAATATCACAAAAAAGTGTAGATATTGTCTAGTATATACTTCATACTATTATACGAGGTTGGAACTCTTATCAGTGTGAGATATCTCTGTATGGACTATACCTCTTTAGTAATTCTGGTAACAGTTTCATGGTCAGTTGTAAGAACATGAATCAAATCAAACAATTTGAAGACTTCAGGAAGTGAACGATCACCTGCGCAACAAAAGAAATATTTGCAAATAAACACACAAAAAATTTAGAAAATTTTAAGGAAATAACAACATTGAAATAAAAATCTGGGAGATAGAATGTGCATACTTTTCAAGATAACATGTTCCACATCTGAGAAAACAATTATGCCCTTCTCCCCCAATTCTCTGCCTAGTTCCCTGAAAAATAGAGAATCCCCTCGATGGATTTATTAACACAAATCAAAGACACATTAATTTTCTCAGAACACATAATTAAGTAAAAATACAGTCTTTGGAACCTAAAAGGGTCTAATTTTGTAATTTTCTCTGCTGTGTATATACATAACTTGCATACATACAGGCATCAGCATCACCCAGGAACTCTGATAACAAACGGTATTTTCCAATTCTTTCATGAGATATTAAAATATAGACTATACAAACAGAAGTATAGAGATGTAAACGATAAAGCTGCCAAGCATGTAGGAATCCAATAATGAAACACACACACGCTACACACAAAAAGGAGTGAACGAAAATAAATTTGAGTTGAAGTAAAGAGAGCATACAATATAGTAGAGTTTCTAATGGAGCCATTAAGGTGGGCATGAAGTTCCAACTTCGGCATTGAAACCCACCATTCCATCCTTGTGTTTTTCTGGGTTTGCCCACTCTTCAACTTCTGTGGGGCAACTCTTTCTTCCCAAACTCTTTGTCTCTAGTGGACGGAGTAAAATTGGGTTAGAGAGAACAGAGGTATGATCTAGCATTGGAGAAAGAATTGGGTATGATTCATAAATTCCAAAAGTTGAAGGGCTTTTCGGAAATTTTGATAACAGAATTTATTATTTCCCCTTCGACCTGTGCGTTTGATTGGAAGTAAGGAATTAGATGGAAAATAATTGTAATTAAATATAAATTCAAATTACGTTGTTTGGAGGAAGAAATAAAATTATTTTGGTTGTGATTGAGAAAGAAATAAGTGGTATAAAGACTAAAATAATCTTGTATAATAATAATAATAACTAATGGTAGTAGTGTCATTTCATCTATTTTTCCTTTTCTCACAACTATTGAATTGACAATTTATAGGAATTCTCATGAATTACAATTCAAACAAAAAAAAAAATTATAATTTTCTCCAACCAAATATTGTAATTAGAGTAACCAACAAATTATTTTGAAATTAGATTTTCAGAACTTCCTTAATCCCCGTGTGAAAGTTTTAATCTTTTATGGTTGGGTTTAAGGGACCTATTAGGAATGCCACTAGTTTGACGGTGAAACTTTGGGCATTTATTATGATCTAAAAGTGTGTTGGGAA